TATTATTAAATTACAGTTTTACAGTAATAAACAAGTAAAAATTACAAAATTACACTGTCAACATAATATTTCTTGAAATGGGCGACTTTTTGTCGTTTGAACTTCCATTAATTATCTATTTTACGACGGTTGTTATAAGGTTCAATATTCAGTGGGCTGTATGATAGTAAAAAGAATGTGACGAATGCTATGGAACGATTTTAACTTTCATGACCTTTAGAATCAGGGAAACTTTAAATTAATTGAAGATGGGCGTAAATATAATATGTCAATCAAGTTCGAAAGCAGTTAAATAAATTTGTTAATGAAAAATTAAAGTGAAGTGAATAAACATGTTGAATAGAAAGAAATTATGACAATTTCTAACCACAAAACAATAACATCACTTCACCGTATGTTCTAGACAGCATTTTAATATTCTTAAAAAAATTAAACATTATTTTATGTTAATTTTAATAAAGGCAGAGTTTGACAGGCTCAATAATTGATTCCGAAATCAATACAATCACTGATCCTACAAGGCAGAAGGTTGCAATTCGTATACCTTTCTCCATCTTTTCTTCACAATATTTTACGCCCATCCTTATCCGACTTGAAAGTCTTTTCGTCGCTCAATATGATTACACTGTTCGCCCAATCAAAGTAATAAAGTCCTTAGCAAATTCTTAGCGCTTTTGCTGGTGAACCACAGATAACAATATTTTCTTCTCTGGCTTCCTGCACCTTAAACCAGAATGCAGGTGTCTCCGTACAGTTTGTATTAAAACATTCAGTGCTGTCGCTGTAGTGCGGGTTGGCAGGAACGGATCAGCCATGTGCCTGGCTACGATGTCGTAGTGCCGAGCCGATGAATTTGCCTTTGGTTTAGGCCCACGTCGACGATGTTTAACGTCACCGGTCTCCGCATATCTGTGCACCCATAACTGCATGGATCTCCTCTGTTGATACCAAACAAATAAGTATTTAAAATACCAGGAAATACTTTACAGGAATTAAAGTTATTAAAAATAATAATAAATATAAGTAAACACAATGTTAGAATAATAATTTATAATTAAGTAGTGGCGTAAGGAATAAAAATCCCTAACCAGATATGTTTTAAAGAAACACTCCTAACAAAAACAAGTCAAGTTACAATACAATTAATAATAAATTATTAATATATCTTTATAATATTGAACTTCATAATAAGTTGCAATAATTATTTTATTCTAGTGCAAAAATTGATAGGTGTGTCGAGTTACAAAATGAAATAAATATTATTTAGAATATCAACGTAGTATCTTATTTACTCACCGATATCATTAAACGCCTTGCTATTTCAGTTATTGTTAGTTATGTTTTGCTCATGCAAAACAATGGTTTCAGCCTTTTTAAATGTTGATAGGTGTTGGAACATCTTGTAAAAATAAAAATAACTTTGCACACGAATATAAGTAGTGTAGCAATAAACTATGAAATCCTCATAAATTGACAACTAAGAACGCAATTATTTTGTAAGTCGGGTGATTTGAAAAACATGTTTTAAATAGTCGGTAGTTACTTCATAAGCGTGTAAAATAAAATGACTCGAGATTTCTATGGTCGCCACAAACATTGCAAATATACTCAGGTATCGAACCATTAAGAAATCACAGTTAATTACTTTTTTACTGTTTTTATCTTATTTAAGTTGGTTGAAATGCATGAAGCAAATGAGATTATTCTAAATAATAAATAACTAGAACTAAAATATAAATAAAAGATATTATAGGTATAAATAAATCTAAAGTATTTACTATTAAAATTAACATAAGATTTAGAACAATAGGAAAGGAAAAAAAGAAAAGATTTAATTGTTTCTAATTTCAAATTTCAAATATTTGATAAATTAATTCTAAAACAACATGTGAATGTTGGAATCGATCCGGCGGCACTTTACTTGACAATTGGAGGCGATAACCATTGCGCCAAGCGCGCTGTAGATGAGATCATCGAAATATTTTATATCATTCAGTAACATAAAATTACAATGAGAAAGCACTATATTTATATGGGTATTGTATAGCTCGATCGTTCATTATTTTTGATTTCGATTTATTCAAAGTTTGTTATGAGTAATTTTATCTTTACCCTCGTTTTTATTTAAACTTATTTACTAAATTATTGCGTATACCGACACAAAAATGATTTTTAAATACCAAGATGTGTGTGATAGACGAATGTTTCTATACATATCTATTGATATGAAATTACCCACACATGTATATTGTGTAAATGATAGTTGTGTCGATGTGTAGCGCCGCTAACTAATTAGCGGTGCTTTGTGTACATACGTACGTACGTACGTACATTTATATACGTAATATAATATCACGCCTTTTATCCCCGAAGGGGTAGGCAGGGTTGCTTTTAATGCCACTGTACCATGTAACACCCACTTTTCACTATTTTATGTAATAAGTTCCATGTAATAAGGTGTGAGCTTATTGCTATATACCGGGCATGATTCCAGACTCCGTGCTACCACTGAGAATTTTTAAAAAAGAAAAAAAAATGCTTTGTCCGACACAGGAATCAAACCCCAGACGCCTTGCCCAACTGCCGGGCCACGGGACTACTCGGCAAACAACTGCCTCGTTGGCTGAATGGTGGCAAGTGTAATTGCATTCATGTACTTTAAGATATTTAACTAAAAGTGAACAATTTTAGTTAAATATCTAATTGTGGATATTTAAGGTAACGTGATCTGTGATACACGTAACACCAGCAAAATGCCTTTCACTGCGGAAATAAGAGAAATTATACGACTTGGAGAGTTGGAGTCGGCGTTGTTTGGTTTACCTTGTGTTTGTAATTGATAGGCCGGTGGTTACGTGGCTTTGGATAGCATATATACGCAATAGATACTTATATGGACATAATAATTATATTATTTGCTGTACATTTCCTGGAAATTACTAGGTACCTTGAAATTTGTAATTCGTTTTATATGTGTAGGTGAAGCAAGCAGTTATAAAGTTCTTTTTTTCCTCGGGAGTCGTATTGCCTGTGTGGTCACACCTTTTAAATTCTCGAACGGGCAGAGATAGTTTTCAAAAGTCATTGCCATTTTTTTAACTCCGTGTTATTAGGTATGTATCTATTAAATTTTTTTCGAAAAACCCAGTAGGTAAGTTTGTAACCCTAAAATTCTATCACTTCTTAGTCAGTAAACAAATTTAGTCATGGTGGCATGAGAAGCGGGCGTCTGTTTAAGACGGTGGGTTCAAAACCTACCAACAGCATGTACCAATGTAACTATTTTGTCGCGGAGAACCTAACGGGTAACCTGGGCTCCGGCTCGACGTGCAGGAGAAGGAACGGGGTGGTTTTTAGTCAGTAAGAGTCTGACACTCCCTCCCGCCTCACCCAGGCGGGAGCAGTAATTCCCCCCTGAAAAAAATGTAACTATTTTCGAGATAAATGACTATTTAGACTAATCTAAAAAAACTATACTGACAAAACAAAAGGTAAAGAAAACATCGTGAGGAAACCAGGGCTTATAATTTATAATTATAAGTTTGAAATTCCCAACCTGGATTAAGCAAGCGTGGTGATTAATGCTCAAACCTTCTCCGTTTGGGAAGAGGCTTATAGCCACTTATAGGAAACAGCCTATTTATTACGAATTTACGGCCACGAGTTAATCAGGGTCAAATTTTTCAAAGTTAATCGGTTAGGGAATTGCAAACCAAATCAGGATATAAATGTTTCAAGTCATGTTTCTAAACCACGCAAGTACGTGGATCGTAATTATCGTAAAGTGAGGAAGAGCGGGAACGGTACAGACTCGCTTAGTAACATCAGTACTCTTGTCGGAAACACTTTACACGGTAATTCCCAATGTCGGTCAGTCAATTCAACGAGTCATCAAACCAATTACCTGGTTATTGTTGATTAGGTATGAGTCAATACATGCATTGAAATTAAGGCTACCATGAACTTTAGTACTCCACGTTGTGACGTGGAGTACGATGATGCGGTCTGCGATGGATCGTAGACCGCATCATCGTTTATGGCTTATCGTCTATCGTTTATGCTTATGGGACGACCTGCTCCAGCACTCTGGCCTTGAAGACACCCAGGTTAACCTTCAGGAAATACAGACTCTAGCAATGAATTCTACTCCTTAGCAGTACGTTCGTGTGGGTGGTGACAAAATTGTTTAACTACCGTCACCACACTGCCCAAACTCGATCAAAGACTACATATAAAAAGCAGTAGCTATCTATACTGTATAAAAGATATCAAGTGGATGGAGAGCAAACGTCAACTCATTGTCTTGTCTACCCCTTGACCCACTTGTCTCCAAGACTACCGCGATATTTCGTTGTCATTCGAACAAAAGCCATTATGTTATGTATGTGTATGAACCTTACACGTGTGTGAAACAGATTGCAAGATATAGTCGGAAGTTTTATGTATAAACTGAGACAGTATTTTTGATCGAAAATTGTATTTTTGATTGAGTTTCCCACGGAACGTAAAATACAGTGTAAACTTCGAAAAATTAAATGAAATTATGAACTTGTTCTATGATATCAATGGGTGAGTGCGTTTACAAACATAATAATATTACGCACCTACACAATCATCACAAACAAATCCCAAACAACAATTTTGATCACACAAAGAATTGTTCTGTGCAGGAATCGAACCCGCGACATGTTCGCAAAAACCAACTCCTCAGTCGCAGCGCTAACCGTACAGTCCTCACTCTTCTTTACTAAAAGTTTTTTTTTATTCACGGAGCCTTATTTCTGCATAAAATATTAAGCACTGCTTTCAACTCATCGACCGCTGCGTAAAAAGAAACGCAGATTTATTTGTCTTGTCACTGTCACTGTCAATTGACTGTCTGTCAAAAGTTTAGTAGTGTAGTTGTCAAACTGTCAAATCAAAAAATAACATAAATATTACACAATTTGTGCGATAATTTCTAATTTAACAATTAAAGTGCATGTAATTTGTTGTTTAAAATGGCAACGAAAGAGAATACTCCTCCCCGCGACTGTCTGTCGTGCAGAATTGTAGGTGGTGTCGGTTTGGTTGGCATAGGAGGTTACCTGGCTAACAGTGCCTGCAAACATAAAACATTACCTGGAAAATATGGTCTATCTGTGTTATCTTTTGGTAAGTTATAACTTATCCTAGAAATAAATTTAATATGCCTGTTATAGAATGTAATTAAAGCTGTTAAACATTTTAATTCTGGCCCATAATTTTCAGAATCATCTTGCACATTTATCAAACCAAATTCTTTAATAACATGCAATAAATTATTTCTAGCATGTTTTAAAAGTACATACGATGATTCTAAACCTAGTAAATAATCACAGGTCAATGACCTGATTTAATTGAATTAAATTATCATTATTACCTGAATTCATTGTATTAACAGCCGTAAAACTACTTCTAGATTTTGTGGAATATAGAACTATTTATGTTCTTATTTTGTGGTTTACAAATCCTTGGCATTCAAATATTAATTATCTAATTCATTCTGATTTCAGCATTCATCTGTTTGGGAGTAGCGAGGTACAAGCAAACATTTCCATTCAATAAAAATGCTGAATTCAAGACAAGAGCGTGATTGTGTACACAAGTACCATTGTTAATTTGTACCCTAAGTTCTACTATGTAAGTTGTAAAATATTGTAAATTGAAATCAAGTTTGTTACGTTATAGTCATAGAATAAATTAAATCTTTGGTTATGAAATATGAATTTCAATATTACTTCCATGTAAGTACATCAATGTTTTATACTAGCTGTTCCCGCGACTTCGTTCGCGTGGTTGTCGAAAACAAAACAACATTGTTTAGATAACAGTAGGCTATATACATGTAAAGTAAACTTCACTCAAGAAGGTGGTATAGTATTTTGTTTGCCAATAAAGATCCTGACTGTAGTATATTTTTATTTGGTAATATTAGTATAGTTGATTACATTAATGCTTCTTTATATACTATATTAGCGGCGAAATTAATTATTTTTTATTAACTAAAAGATCTGATTTGATATTATAAAATAACGCCATCTATGATATCGACGTTACATTACTGAAGCGCCAACTTCAGCGTTTAGCTGTCACCGTCTTAGTATATAGTATAAAAGGTAGATGGCGGTGTAATAAAATAACGGATCGTACTGAAAATTTAATAGAATGTCTGATGAATTAAATGTTGATAAATTATTTTAATCATTTAATCTATTTATATCAGAACAATATTTTTCCTTCACTGCACAATTTTTTACCAAATCTAGACTTGGCTAGTAGGAGAATAGCTCTTAATTCAAGTAAATTTTTACACTTTTAAAACACTACCTAGACTAGACTATTAGAAAAGATGAAATATAACTTGACAATAAAGCTGTGTGTACAATTACAAGTTAAAAGGTTGCGGCTAACTGTACCTAAGTCGCACAGGTTAATTTCAGTGTCTAATTACCTACGTAATGTGAATTACTGGTTTAATGAAGTCTTGGATATTCTGGGAGAGTTCGCAAATAGTCTTAGCCTTGGACGTAACACGTGCGTAAAATTAAATCACTTCAAGTATCAAGTAGGCACATAGGTTGGGAACTTGGCAAACTCAATTTCGAGTCGCCATACCTATAGCTATATAATACCTGCATACGATGCTTTTAAATGTGTAGCTAATAAGTTTAATATATGTACGTAGAACACTCTTACAATAATATTAAAGAGATTTGTGGACCCATTTTGTTGAGTTTTCGACTGAACGACCTAAAACTGCCTGGCAATATAGTGGGCTTATGAACACGGAAAAGTAAAAAACCTTACCTTACTGCATTAATTAATTTGAAGTCTAAAAGTTTTTTTAAACTGCTTTAAATCTGACGGATCGTTGTCTAATGGTAAATGGTCATCGTGGTCTACGCTGATACATTAGTTCACCAGCTAGTGCTTGCAACACCAAAAGCATCACAACTGCATTGCAGACCACATCGGTGGTAACCTTTTTTTTATATTATATTTGATGGGGCGACGTTTGACCACCATCTCGCCTGGTGGTAAGCGATGATGCGGTCTACGATGGAGCACGTAGTCTCATAAGCAACCTATTCACTCGGGCCTTGAAGACACCCAGGTTATACCCTTCAGGAAATACAGACTCTGGCAAAGAATTCCACTCTTTAGCAGTACGCACAAGGAAGCTTGAAGCGAAGCGCTTCGTGCGTGTGGGCGAAACATCAACCATGAATCGGTGACGCTTCGCCGATTGTCTTGTGGTACGATGATGGAAAGGACTAGGGGGAATCAAGTTTTGCAATTCCCCCGCACACACACACAACCTAGTTCTTAGAAGATGGACTAAAAGTACCCACGTGGTTTTCTGTCTCTATTTTCAGCGTAACAGGAAGCAAAACTAACGATCCCTTATTTTCCACCTCTTCCAGGCAACTGATACTGACGTATGTAGGTAGGTAAGTAGCTAGGTATTTTTAGCTTTTAGTCCCTGGAGTGCCAATTCCACTACATCTCTTTGTAGTGTGAACCCACCAGGGTATAAAATTGTGACCCAATTCCACCAATCAATAACATCGCGCGTAGGACTGTGGGTTTACCGAAATACAAACATCCGGCTTACGGAACAAATGCATGGGTTGTTCGAGAAACTAATGTGACTTTATGTAGGGAAATACATGAGGCATTACATGTACCTACCTATGTTTAAGAATGGAAAGTGAAAACTTCAGGACAAGACTTTGAAATTGGTGGTGATAATCTGCATTTAGTTATGAGTTCCATTACAAAAATGCCAGAACAAAATGAACTATGAAAAGAGTGTGAAATTGTATGACCGTAGGTACATTACGTACCTAATATTACAAGAGAAAATACTCCATGTGCAGTTCATAGTCTTGTTAAAACTCTGGCAACCTGCAACAGTATGCAAAACAAATTATTTACCCGTTACCGGAAGCCTCTAGCTGTATCGAATAAAAAACATTTTCCATGAATATTAACACCGACAGCGTCAATCTTCATAGAAATGTAAATTTGCCAACCCTATGTACGTATTTATAGCTGCAGGTTGGAATATGCAACGTGTCCATTACTCCATGAGTTCAGAAATAGTCAATTGTAATACAAATAAAAGCAGCAATGGATTTCATGCTATTGCCAATGTGTACAACTTCGGGCCAATTTTAGCAGAACATTAGAATTCTGTAAGGAGGGTTGCTGTGATAAATAAAGATACCGGACCAATCTGTCAGGCTTAGCCTTGTTTGATATTGTTAAGACTTTTATGGACGTTAATTTGTTTTTGTTGGTACCTACTGTTGTGGAAAGGAAAAGGTAGGTAAGTGTACTCAAAGCTTTGAGCCCTTACTTTGAGGTGGGTTCAGGCCTAAAAATAGATATTTATAAGTTTATCCATAATTTTGTACGCACTAACGTAACCAAGGCTACACTTTGGTGCATGGTACCTATATTTAATTTTGTAAGAGGTCTCGGGTTCGATTCCCGGATCGGGTAAAATATTATTGGGGTTTTTACGGAGTCTCGAATTATGGTAATAGGTACATATATGGGAATAGGCTCGCCCCCTATACATTGTACTCATATCACAAGTAGTGAAAAATGGGTGTCACATTGTACAGTGGCATTAAGTGAAGTAATGTGTGCACAAAGGATAGGCAGAAGTGCTTCTGCCTATCCTTTGGGGATAAAAACGGCGTGATGTTATGATGATTTAAAATTATGTAGCTAATGAGTTATGCGTACAATATTGCCCGCCTTTACAATATTGTTAAAGATACTTCTGGCGACAAATTTTGCTGCGTTTTCGATTGAACGTCTAATGTTATGTTTTAAAATACTCTAAATTGAAAATAAATTAACGAATGTATATACCTACTTATTAGTACTTTAAACACGTAAATAATGGCAAACAAGTGAAACAAAACATACGTATTGTAAAGAAAAATTTCAGTAGATGTCCAATATTCTATATTTTTCAGGTATCCAAATCTATCTTTCTTCAGACCATGTCAAAAAAATAATGAAACTTCAATCGCGTTGCTTTAAATAAAATATAATTTTTACGCTTTGATCTGGTTTGTGGACCGTAATTGAAGGTGAAAACCTGCGCAGATGAAGGACTCTCCACCTCGGGATTGCAAAGAAACAATGGTCGGGGACTTTGTTTCATATTCTGTTTGTATGAGAAAAACTGCCACTCGCCATGTAGGTAATGACCTAGGTTTGTCAAAGCACCCAGATTTTTTTTATGTTATAACTGTCTTGAGACATACGTATAAATTAATTATTATATTTTCAGCTTACTCTCATAACTGTCTTGTAATGAATATGAACCTCTAGTATGACTTGAAACTAGTCGAGTTCCTCGACAAACAGAAATATCTTGTTGATCACATCAAATACATCTAATCGTGAGTTTAGCCGTATTATGAAAGCCGAGTTGAATACGTTCATGAGTCAACATCTATCCAACTCCACCTGGGGAATATGGAGACTATGGCAAACCCTCATATGTATAAGTTCAGCAGTTCAATAAACTGTCACGACAGATAGTCGTTTTTGTTAGATGTCATCACGAACTCTCCAAGTGAGGTCAATCGCGTTCTCGCCCGTTATGATATGACGGACCGTGATCGAGCTCACTACACGCCGAATCCACCGCCAAGTTTGCTGGCTACAATCGCAATCGCGGCGGCTGCGTACCCGCAGCTTCGGTCTCGTGACTTTATTTTGACATTTTTTATGTGATAAACCGGTGAACGAGCGGGCAGTTCACCTGATGGTAAGCAATGAGAGTCGCCCATGGCCACTTAGAACACCAGAGGTGTTACAATAGCGTTACCGGCCTTTTTTTTGGGATAAGGAATTTCAGAAGCATGGCTCTCCCACACTTGAAAATAAAACTCAATTCCACTACCACCACGACGGTCGCGGGTGCAACCGCGTCGTGAATTCTTAGCCTAAGATATCCCCGATAAGGCTAGATTAGTCACCTATTAAAAAAAATGAAGCCCGGAATCGATAAATTAGCTAGGGACTATATTTTTTTTTATATGTACACTAGCGGACCCAACAGACGTTGTCCTGCATATCCATGTGAATGTACCTCTATAAACAAA